TTGAATCATTGTGTATTCAAATAAAGGATGTAAAAAAAGGTAATAAAATGAACAAAAAATGATGTATCGATAGAAAAAGCTTTCGTTCAACTTCGCTACTGATAAAAATAAGTCCATGCTGTGACAGTTCGCCGAATCAGGCGAACAACGCATTGAACGAAAGGGAGCACTCTTTCCAAGAAGCTAACACGTCCAGTAAAGTTTGCTCTTCGATAGCGTCTAGTCAAAATCCTAGTTTGATGACATTTAAGAATCCAGGATTGTTTTCAATCACTGAGCTACACATCAGGTGAATATTGCCACAAGTGCAAAGCTGGTTATAGCATTGGCATCGTCAGTGAACTAAGTGTTATTTCACATGACAAATGATTCGTAGCTTTATTCCACACCCGTCAGTAAGTTGGAGCTAACCTGATACGTCAAACTGTGATTGACACCGAACGGATATAGAAAAGAATTGGCTTTGAAGCCGTAAAATGAATTGAAAGACTTTAAAAGAAACAACCGTTGACTTCACCTTACATATCATATATGTACAGTACGGAATCGGTATTTGTCGGCTATGCTCAATGTCACTTGTCCGATAAGCAAAGTAAAGTGTAAATTTGCGAGTATTGTGAGACTGTGAGAGTATGTAGCGGTGATGTGGGATATTCATTGTGGAAGGTTTAGCTCCCCAATGCTTGTAATCAATTTTAAACTAGGCATACTCAAACTGCTCTGAGTTGCTAGAGAACCAATGACGATGGCTTTCCTATCTATTTCTCGGTCTTGTAGAGTAATGTAGCGAGATCGGAAGGTTTCATTCAAGAGACTTTTAAAATCTAAAAGAAACATTTTAAAAATTATATCAGATCGATTTGTATAAATTTTATGGTGTTTCAATTTAACATCACGCACAAACCAAATCGATTAGGTTTAAATTTTTCCTTGGATGCAACAGCTAATGGATGGCCAGGGTCAATCTCAAGAATCAAGCCAGGTCGGGGAAATGATATTCATTTGGGGACAAAGTCGTCACATTCAGGTTTATTCAGAGAGGAATGTATACATGTGTGCAAGCGTTTTTAATGTGCTTCACACCGGCTTACCTTGAGTTCACTCCGATGCTGAGCATCATTGTCTTTGGTCTCGGCTTTCTCCTCCTGTTTAGCCTCGGTTAATTCGGTCGGTTTCTGCTCAATATTCTCCTGATTCTCCAGGTTCAGATTGGCATTTTTCTCCAGTTTTGAACTACGATGTTTGTGACCTCGTTTGCTTGATCGATGACCGTGGGATCGGCGCGACTGAAGTAGTCCACTGGGTGTCTGATAGCGGTTTTCTCCGTTGTCAAAATTACGTCGAAATAAATCTCTACTACGGGGCAATGTCCAATAGTCATAGGCCACATTGGGTAATAAGGATAGTGTTTCTCGATCCCATATATTATCCTTTTGTCGAGATTTGGAATGTCTTCTCACCGGATCTATGATATTCGAACTGACGTAAGTCGATGTATTGTATGCGTATTGTGGCGGTCTTCGTTCGTATACATCCCGTTGGGCTTGACTCCGTGGCATTCGACCGGGAATTCGTGGATCCGTCGATGTCATATATCCATAGCCAGAATAGGGTGGATCACCGTCTGTGATTTCAATCTCGTCCGCGTAATCCTCTTCGTCCTCGTCAACCGCATGCGGATCGTACACAGCGGATCCGTTCACGTGTTCGCGCATTTGATCCGATCCAACCGAATTGACTTCCTGGAGAGTGCTTAGGGAACGCCGCAAATGATCCATCTCGTCACTGGTAGGGCTCAGTTCCCTTGCCGGATGCGAATAGTCAAGCTGACCACCACTAACTAGTGCAGTGGTCATATCCATGCCTGGGTGACCTCAGCTACTTGTCTGGGTGTGGGTGTGTGCGCCGCCTTGTGAGCTCGTAACAAAGTCGAACGAATATTCAAGGCTATGTGCTGTTTGTCTGTGCTTGTGTGCGAGTGCCCGTGTGGTCAAGAGCTGGGGTGGGGGAAGGGTCCGGCACGTGTGTCCTGATCCGACGGCCAATTTATAAGCTAGTTCACCAGTGAGCGAGCGAGCGATTCTGAAATGTCGGCAGATGAGATGTTGTCGAGAGTAGTTGGCGCCCGTGAGTGAAAATTAACTCAGGTGTGCGTGTATAAGTGGAAATGGGCTGAGAATGGATAAAGTGATGACGGCACTCTCGCGTGGGACTCTTCATTCGCATGCTGCTCCATTGTGCAAACAGGTGCACCTACGTGCACAAACACACACACACACAAGAAAGCAAGATACCACTGTCTGCCTCGTTCATGCAAGTCAGGTACTTGTCTAGCGATTTACAACTACTGCCGCCAACGCACTATGTGCAACTAGGGAGGGATTGAACCAATCCGCTCACAGCGTGTCTGTGTGTGCTTGCGGGGTTGTGCAATCGGTCACGCATACGCGCGCTCTGGATCGATTCCCATCCAAAGCGGTAAGTGACTGCGTACTTAAGCACACACGCACACGACTCACTTCGATGTGCACAAACAGCATATTGGAAGAATCAGTAGGCGGATGGGATGAATAGATCAAAACATTTTTATGGTAAAAAGGCGTGCAGAATTTCACATGATCAACGTTAGCCCTATCATTGAGCTTCTATCAACGTCAATCGCGTGTGTACTTTCAACACGTATACGCACCCATGCGTAAACGCTCCCAACCTCCCCCCCCCCCCCCGCAAACACACGCACATACATACACACACACACAAACCGTGACGTATTAGGAATCAGATAACATCATGATTAATATTGACTCGTTCAAACGGTCTTGAGTCTTCCGAAAACTTAAACTCTTGCGCCAAAAGACTGTGCAAAATAGACCGGCAAGATATATCACCTCTGGTCACCAAAATGACACCGAAAAACACCCATTCGTTACAGAAATATGAATGGACACTTGAATATCATGTGAGCAGGCATTCCATTGTGAATTCCAAGATGAATTGAAGTTAGTGACGTATTCATCTGGACAAAAGAGTTGTCTTTTAAAAATTGGCAAACTTATTTAAAATAAAAATAGAATGTCAGCATGGACCGTTAGAATTTGTAAATGAACTTGAAAATGATACCCAGAATATATTACGCAAGCGAGCATAAAATGCCTTCCAAAAATGAGAGGTGAGTCAAACATTTCTATTTAATTTCGTTAATACCGGCGTTTACTAGGTTCATTTTGCTGCACCGAAACCTGGATACATCAAGACAAAGCATTCGAACTAGGGTGTAAGAAAAACATCGGAAACAAGAAGCGTTCGCTGATCCGTGGTATTTCGTGGTGATTGACCAAAGTCAGCCAAACCTTGGACCATTTGCCATAGGCCTATTCACGAGGTTTGATTACACATTTGTCCTGTACAAGTGGACCAAAAGAGTCAACCCCTTATGTTTTACCATCTTCCACAATGATACGAGGCGGGAATTTGATGACAGGGAATACGCTAGCATTCAATCTGTCGCATTTCAGCACATGCGGCAGTGATATGCTCATCGGGACTATCTAAAATGGTGGATGGTTGTTAAATATTGATAGCCAGTTCACACAAAACTGGTTAAAATTGTGAACTTCTGGGTATTTTACCGGATAGAGTGAAACGTTGGTTCATTCGTTCCGTATTCAACAAAATTATCGGTGACACAGCAGTTAAGCTGAAATTCGGATTGACAAGTTCAACGAGAAATGTGCAGAATTTCCCTAGTGGAATTCAATCTAACAAAGTACGTGGTTGCTTTGAATGAGTATCACATTCCGAACCTAATTTCGTTGATCACGAACGATTTTCTGTTGATCGACTAATTTTATTGTTAGAGGTATTAATTGATGCCAAAAATCGGCAACTTGGCGAATTGGATGATGGACATTACTCATTTGGCATAATGTCGAGGGGTGGGACGAATTATATTTGATAAGCAAGATAACGACAAACAAGTTGTTATGTTTCTCAGATACGCTGATATGCATTTGGTTTGCATCAATTTGAAACCATGAAAATTAGACATAACTTAACGGCTAAAAAACACTATTGCTCCTGATTGTTGTGAATCACAATAATGATAAATGAACTAGCATATATTCGAACACGACAGCACTGCAATTTGCCCCTCACACATCGAAAAATCGTGTTCAATTTTTCACAAACTGTGATTTTTTGATTAATCCGCTTAGAGTCTTCATTTGAACTGGGAACACTGAACAGTGTTCGATTCTCGGTAGCCTGAATGTTGATCGATGACCTTCTAGCTCGTAAGGAAGAGTTACCCCCTGGGGAATGCATGATTAATCTATGAATAAAAGTATCATTGAAGGTTAGGCACAATATTGAAGTCAGAGTTATCACTGGGATACAGTTCATCGAGCTTAGCAATTTGTTTACACGCATTACATCACCAACCAAGGGGACATCTGTAATGTATGCAAGGTGGCGTGGTTCTGCTTTCACCTGTTTGATTACATGTGTTCTGCTTCAACGACTATTTTGAGCTCCGTGTTCATGTTTTTCAACCTAGTTAGCCGTTGAACAAATAGAGAGACAGAGAGGGAGGGTGCGGTTTCGGATCCGTTCCCGGGTTACGAATTAATCTTTTGTTGCAACATGTGACAGTTCAGATTCCAGCAGCCGTGCGAACTCATTGAACCAACTTAGGAACCCCGGACCTCACAGGAATAATGCCATAATACTATCCTCTTGAACATCGGGTGGCTGATTCAACCGTTTTCCATTTTACATAAACACAATATGGCCAACTGACTGTAGGTGATAGGTTGGTTCCATTGTTATTGCAGACAGAATGCATTTGCCATTTAGAGAATTACAAAGAAAAAATGTAATTTCTATTAGCTATTGATCCTGCTTTTCAGGGGAAATACTGTCAATTCTTTCATTGTATCCTTGTACCATTGCTGAGTATTTTGTCAATTGTGCACTTCAATGTCATAAACATATCGGTAATTGCATTTGTCTCGAAGGAATCCGTGTTAATCGAGGGGACCTCGGTTTCAATGGAATTTACGCAATGGGCTATCGATAGCATAGACTGAATCCAATTGTGCGATGATTCATTCCAATACTCACGTCTGAGTATGGTGACCGAAACATCGATTCATTTTGACGTGATCCGCTTCATTATCCGGTTCACCGAGGTCGATTACCGCTGGTTTCGTTCATTTTGGTCTTAGGCTCACTCATTCAACCGTCAAGGATATGACGTTCCCGAGTGATTCAGAGGAAGCAGGGGTAAGAGTTTTGTGGGCGACGAGTGGTCAAACTCCACACCACTGAAACTTTCACCCTAGGCTCGGTAACTCACCAGAAAAGTTCTTTTGTTTTTCTATGAAAAAATCATTTCATTCCGACTGGACGGTATTTCGACCGGTCCATTTGGTGACCTGCGAGGACTGAAGCACCAATAGAATGTGATTAATGGGATTCACTATAGAATTTACAGCAATTTTTCTGATCGCTGATAGTCGCCTAACATTTCCCTTAGATTTCCGGGTTGGTTCTAGGTGTCATCGCGTATGTTCAGTGTTGACTGATTCTGAAAGTTCGGCCCTCTGTGATTTCCATCAATCAGTTATACCTCCCTTTTGTATGCACAGTTTGAACAGATCTGTGATAATGTTAGACAAAAATATAGGGACTGCTCGCCACTGTTCAACATCTTAATTCAACTTCTGCACGCACAGCTGTCCAGCGCTTTACAAACTGTGTTGGTAATGCTTCCCTTATTTGTGTACAACTCGACCTGTAGATTATCAAGGGAAAAAGAAACCTTGTAATTTCGCTTGGACAGCAATCTTCAGAG